AAAATAATCACTATTCCCTCATTAGATGGTGCAAAAGGACAGGCACAACATCCCTCTTATTTAAGAGGATAAAGAAGTAGAATGTATCATCTGTAATGCACAGCATTGTAGTTTTACATTTACTATAAAATTTTTGAAGATACTAAATAGGGCACTAGTCTCTATTCTAATATAAATAGAGAACATGTAGTCATGAATATATGGCTGCTATTTATGTCCCTTTATCTGAGAATAAACAGAAAATTTAGTGTGGGCTTTTTTCTTGATGCACTCTTCAGTAATTTGCATGTATTCTCAGACAAATCAATGCCCTTTCCATTGATTGGTATCTTCTGTTACTAAATTATTCTCATGCGTAGGACTTCACTCGACTTGTATACCCACTCTAATCTTTGTGTGGCTGACATCTTTCTGGTGGGATGTGCTCTTTTCCTGAGCTCAGCCTTCTGTTTCCCACTTTCACTGGCTTTCCTTCTGTTTCTCTAGCCTTCCAGTTCCTATTCCACATCAACTTTTTCAACTTCTATCTTATTATATCCTCTTCTGCCAGCGATAGATGTATCCTTCCCAAGCCATTTTAAACACACCGCAGATATCATTTATCTTATGTTTCTCTAGGCTGTTCTCTAGGCCTAATACACAGAGATGTGGGCCCCTTTCTGGCAAAGTTAATTTTCTACCAGTCCAAGATAAAGTCTGAAAACTGTCTTCCTCTACTTGTATATGATGTAGTGTTGAAACAATCTTCCTTTACTCCCCCTGCCCTTAACACTGGCAATCTAGTCTTTACATCTGTTGAGGCAGGGGGATCTGGTATTCTGTCACTTTTCCCACTGTTTAGTGATCTCAGCTGTCACTGATTCTTTGCATCATTTAGACCAGCCCCTTTGTCTTTTCTCCCACATTAGTTTATAGGGCTTATAAAAAGAGGCGATACTGGTTCATGCTACATATGCAAACAAACAGTACTGAATATATAATCATCTATTAAGCTGTGCACACGACCAATGTAGAGCCAAAAGAAACCACCAGATGTAGGCAGCACACCCAACCATATCCATCAAAGAAAGAAGGGAGTGATTACATGTCCATTCTTCAAGAAAATAAACTATCAGAGCCCAATGTGGAAAATTATTTTATTCTGTGTTCTTCCCTTTGCTAAAACCATACTCATTATAGGCCTGAAGTGTAAAGTAGTTTAAAACAGAAGACTCCATTAAAAGACAGTTTTAGTGCAATTACGCAAAGAAGAAGTAAAATGATTTCCCACTCTTTAGGACTGTGCATTTTTTTCATATATACATAAACTGAGGAACAACAAAGAATTGTATATAGAGCACCGAGGACATGGTAGACTTTAAATAATTCCTAGGTAAAATTAGTATGCATTGCAGTTTAGAGAAACAAAATACACAAGCCTGCTAATCAAAATGTTCAGCTAACAGAGCTGAGGCTTTTCATTAGTTATATTGTCTTGAATTTCATCACTCTACCAGCTGGCTTCTTGTCAATTTATAGCTTGGACATTTACATCAAACAAAAAAAAAATTAATTACAGGGAAAGGAATCCCAATAGGAATTTTGCGCTTAGAGGTTTTTCACAATTAACCAGACATGAATGGAAATGTGTATAGAGGAAATGGAAAGGAAGAGAAAGAACTTTGTAGAATTTTCAAGAATCATTAACTGTAGCAGCATTAGTCACCTGCTTTCCAATTTTGTTCTAAAATGTTTAGGCATATAAGGGAGCCTTCTTTTTTCAGAAAGCACGTCAAGTCTGTTACTCCATTGAACTCAGTGAATCATGACATGCACTATGAATTTTCTTACAAGTTGTCCCAAGTGAGAGCTCAAAAATTGTTCTCTTTCCATCATTTCAACTTTGGTAACATCCTGTATGTTATGCTACTGATCATAATCATAATGAGCTGAAAGGTGCTTTGATGGTGAGTGCCTAGTTACTTGTAATGCCTGTTTGGACTCAAAAGTATTGTTCTCAAGTATCACAGTCATTGCCTCTGGGTCCCACAGTAATTTCAAATGTGACTTTCCTAAGCCTCTTATCTGTTGAATAAAACAGCCAGCAGTTTTAAAAATGCTTCTCCCTTATTTTGCTTTTTTGTTTGGCTGCAAATTCTTTTCTTGTGATTCATATTCCTAATTCCTAAGATTCAAATAGAAGCTCATTCTTTGTCAAATACATTGAAGGCTAAAATGCCTAGTAAGTATGAAGAAAACATTTCGGCTTAAAAAAATGTATATAGGAATACACATAAGATGTATTATTCCTTAGGATACCATGGAGTCTCTGAGTACCTATGGAATTAATCAAGTAGTGTGTACATATATGTGGCATGCATACATAACATCAATTTGTGATTTAAAATAGTATTTTCCATTTGATTAATTTCAAATGCTTATTAAGACTGTGTTGTTCCCAGCCCATAGAGTGGTAAATAAGTAATTTCTCCACCTTCTTGGCCATCACAAGAATACATTTAGGTTTCTGATCATTTTTAATGAACAGCAGCCTTTAGTTATCAGCTCATTTCGGTGTCCATATTTCATTGTACTGTTTTGAGCAGTGCCGTATTTTCTCAGTAATTTGTAGACCACAACCGAGGAGAGCATTTTTTTTTTAACTTTTTGTAATGATAGTATTTTTCTTCATTAAGGTTGTGAGCGGGGAGCTACTAACAGGCACTTCTCACATTTTGTGGTTCATCCTGTGAATGCTTTGCTGCTCTTCCAAGGTCACTTTGACAGTCTTTCTCGTGATTTACTTCCATTTACTTTGCTCTTGTGTTTATGATTTTGACTCAAAAAAAAAAAAGACAAAAAGGAAGAAATTTGATGTTGGGGTTTGTCTATGTTAATCTCAATTTGCTGCAGGTTGGCCATCTACAACTGTGATAACATCAAAACCCACTCAGGAGAATGTTTTGTCTGCAGTCCCAGACACAGTTTTGTTTTTTAAAACTTTTTGTGTTGCTGTTATTTAGCTTTCTCATTATTTAAGTTCAAAACGAAGCCTCTCCAGGGGAGGGTTTTCAGAAAATCTAAGTGGGATTTGACCCTTTGTGGGTTTAATGACACTTTCATGGGGGTCACAGATCAAATATCCTGAGTGTCAGATATGTACAGTATGATTCATGACAGTAGCAAAATTACAGTTATGAAGTAGCAACAAAAATAATTCTACGGTTGGGGTCAACAAAACGTGAGGAGCTGTATTAAAGGGTCACAGCACTAGGAAGGTTGAGAACCAGTGATCCAAGTGATTCTAGTGGAGATCAATATGTGATTACTTAATAAGAGTCTTATCATATCATGGCTTCAAAAAAGGAACTCTGTTTTTTTATCTTAGAAATTTTATTTCACGTTCTGTATTTAAGAGTGTACTTATTAATTTGTATTTCAAAGAAGTAAATTCATATTTGATAACATATATAATTAAAAATTGTAATGGGTACAAAAACCCTAATTTGTATTGTGATACCAAATATTTGTCCCTGATTTTAATTTAAATAACCGAATGAGTCCAATTTGGGCATCATGTGCTCCTGGATCTGGAGCCATTCACTGGAGCTTTAGTCCACACCCTCACTGAAAACCTATTATCTTTCCATAGCTTCTTTGTAGGGTGAAGGCCCATGAGTTCCCCCAACCCCTTGATGCTGGCTTAATCTTACACAATTTTTGAGTTTGAGTTTGAGTGCAGTATTCTAGTCATGTCCATGCTGTAGTGAATCTCTCCAGTCCTCGCTGACCTCTGGCTCTTTCAATTGTTCTGCCCTCTCTTCTGAGGTGGCACTAGAGCCTGGGTGGTAGGAGTGGTATGGATATCCGCTTGTGTCTGAGCATGTCAATGATACTCATTCTTCCTGGAGCAAAGGATTGATTTTAAGTGTTCCCTTGTCTTAGGGAGCATCTTGAAGTCATTGTAGGCTCATGGGGACAGAAACCTTTCCCTCCTCTGCTGTCCTGTGAGCACATCCTGTGAAATAGTCCATCTAGAGTAGAATACTAGAATTTAGTGAAGTGCTTGCAAGTAGCTTACTTCTGCACAGTTATTATTTTATGATTCTAGACCTTATATGTTAAATGCAAACTGCACAGTTTCCTAACAAAGTTTGCTATTTAAAGCCATTCCATGGCAAATCACTTTGATTACATTTGGCTTCTGTTTCTTATCATTATAGCAAAAAAAAAAAAAAAAAAAAAAAGAAAAGAAAAAAGAAAGAAAGAAAAAAATTAATCTCATCCAAGTCTCTCATTTGTAGACACAAATGGGCCAAATTTTAAATTCACATCTAAAGTAAGTGGGAAATCTGACAAAAGAAAATCTATGTGTGTGCTGACTGTGCTGTGATTGGAAAGTCTTCATATTTTAATCAGCTGAAGCTGGACAATGGGGCTTCAGAGTCTAAGTGTGGTACACCTTGGTTTTTGATTTTTGTTTTTGGGTTTTTTGTTTGTTTTGTTTTGTTTTGTTTTGTTTTGTTTTGTTTTGGTGGTGGTGGTATGGCTTATATGTGTGTGATGCATGTGAGTATATACGTGTTCGTGCCTATCTGCATACAAAGGGAGGCAGGAGAAGATCAGGTGCCTTCCTGTTTGCTTTCTACCTTACTGCCTTGAGTTAGCATGTCACTGACCCAGTGGCACTTGGATTTGGCTACCCTGGCTTGCTAATGTGCATCAATTATTTGCCTCTCTTCACCTGGTGATGACACATGCAGCCATGCCTGGCCTCGTGGGTATTAGAGATTTGAACTCACATACTCACACAAATGCCCTTACCCCTGATCCTCCTCTCCATACCTGGTACATTCTGCTTATAAAGTAGATACCTACATTATTTACAGATCTAAGAAATTAAGCTCTACGTTGATTTCTACAGGTTTGAAAATAGCTAATTACAGAGTTTTCTTAATAAGGAATGCTACTGTTTCTACCTGATTTTCACATTTGAAAAATGATTGTTTGTTTTAATACAGGGAATGAATTTGGACATCCTGAATGGTTGGACTTCCCAAGGAAAGGGAATAATGAGAGTTACCATTATGCTAGAAGGCAGTTTAATTTAACTGATGATGACCTTCTTCGCTATAAGTTCCTAAATAACTTTGACAGAGATATGAATAGACTGGAAGAAAGATGTGGTTGGCTTTCAGCTCCACAGGTAAGCTCTTTGCTCTAAATGTGATGTTTTAGTCACCAGGGCTGGTCATGCTTAGAATGGCAATCACATGAAATCTGCATGCAGACCTTCGGAGCAACTTCATTATTCAGTGTGTAGTGCCCTGTAATGTACTGTAGGTTGTCAAAACATGTCACAGGATTCTCTCCCATAGATAATGAAAATCCTAAGCATACAGCTGGCCCTGCGTAGTTTCCTGGTTAGTTGGTTGTTGTTGTTGTTTAAATTTAGTAATTTTCATTTCAACTGGTTAAAAATAAATGGCAGATGCTCTGCATGAAACCCATTTTGGAAATTGCTGTAAAAACATCTTAATTGTTTTGACTGGTTTTCCTTTGTGTAAATAATTATGCTGTCATAAAGAAACTACATTGACAACACCTAGATTTTTTTATTCCTGTTTCCCCCTTTTTACTGGCCTCTAACTTGTCATTTCAATAGATGCCATTATACCTGCGTGCTGCTTTGTATTTTGCATAAGTCTGAACTCTCCTCTGGAATTAAAGTCTCAGTTTTCAATAAGTTTGAGAAAATGTAATTAACAGGTGCAAATTTTATACAGGCTTTTTTTCCTCCTTGCAAAAATTAGCATATAGTATGTGCTAGTTATAATCCATTTACTTTCTATTGATACTGTTTAAAATTACTGTTGATGTGTTTTTACTTTGGCATCTATTGTTTGCTGTTTAATGACTGAACAAAGGTATTTGTATATTCCAAAACACTGTCTACATGATATGCATGCCCTAATCATGTTTATTAGATATGCCATTTCCATAAAAAGAGCAAAATGATGCTTCTTTTCAGTTGGAATAAAGTGGAATACCAAAAGGCACAGTGTTTACTCTGGAGCTCTAGTTCTCACTGCTAAATTACCAAGGGAGATGCTGCTGATCAACACGGCAATAAATCTTCAGCACTAGAGTTGGGTGAGAGTGGAGCCAAAGATACAAAGGCTTTTAAAAACAGCTATTAACAGACAATCATGCAGTGTGCAAAAATAATTTATTCATAGACCTTTCATATTATTAAGAAATATCCCCAGCACATTGCAGTGAACTTTAGGCTGCCATCGAGTCTCTACAGAGTTATGTAAAATCAGGGTTATCTAAAAAAAATCAGTTTTCTGATATTTAGTAAAACTATAATTTCAAATCTGGATATAATGTTATAGTAACTTAAAACTAATTTTATTTACTTTACCTCATTAATGGGTACTAAAACAAAGTCTTGAGGAAAATGCATTTGTACTTAGGTCTAATATACACAAATACTACGTACTGCACATGCCACGGTTTTTACTTCATTTGTATCCACAACACTAATCCTCTATTTGTGCTCTCAGGGTGAAACATGGACAGTTGGGTTTTTATATGTTTAAGCTATTTCTTATATTATTTGGTAAAATTATAACATGCAAAAATATAGATCACAGCAATTTCATTTTGGCACAATAATGAACAATGCATATTAGGAATGACAAGACAAAACTCTAGGAAATAGTTTCCTTGAAGCAGCATCTCCTAGTGATGTAAACATAATGTGTTATCCCTGCAGGCCTACGTGAGTGAAAAACACGAAGGAAATAAGATCATCACCTTTGAAAGAGCAGGACTTCTTTTTATTTTCAACTTCCACCCAAGCAAGAGCTATACAGATTACCGAGTTGGGACAGCACTACCAGGGAAATATCCTTTTCTCTGCCAGTGGATATGGCTATTAAATTTCAGTATTTCATAGGATAAGCACATTGAAATAAGACTAACATGTATCTTGAACTCATCTGAAAAGTAAGGGTCTTGAGGTAGCTAACTTTGCCTATCTTAGTTGTCTTGAATTATTCATGATCTTTGCTTAAACCCTGAAAATTACAATTCTGGAAATTGTTGAAAGTAGTATTTTGTTCTAATAAGCAATTAATCTGCAATTCATTTTCTATATAAAATAATTTATTGTTGCTTCTGATAATCATCTCTTTACCCCACTTCTCTGTCTATTGAGGAAGAATATATAACTCAGTGGTCCTTCTGCTTTCTCATTCTCTTTTTAGAGAATAAGCATAGCTCACTTTTTAGATCAGAATTGGCAAATAAGCAGGCAGGGGAGGGATGCACAAGAGAATGAGCAAGGGAAATATTTCTGATGTTCTCTATTTATATTCACAGTATCTTAGCATCTATTTCAGTCCTTTCTGATATCTTTGCTATACTACTGGAGCAGAGAAATATAAAAACAAAGTATTTTGTATGACATAATGTACAATATATGGTAGAGAAGCAGAAATATTCCATGGGAAAACAAGACAAGGAAAGGAAAAAACAGAGGGTAAGAATGATAAGCCTATACCTTGGATTTAGCATTTATATAGTAGAGTAAAATAAGGAAGGCCCATTCCAGTGGTTGCAAGCATAGACCATCCTTAGATAATGGGCAGTTCAAAAGATTAATTAAAGAATAATAAAACTACTGTGATAAAGCTAACAGCATACATTGGAATCATGTTATAGGAAACTTTTAAAGCTATATTAATCGGGGTTAGCTTTTTTCTTGAGATTTTATGAAGGTTTTTGAACTAGAAATTTACTTGAAAAGAATGTATGTAGTAGAATAAGTTTTCCCCTCCAAGTCTGTAAATAAATTGCATGAAAAGACAGATTGCATATTCGGGTGTTAACTGTGGGATATTGCAGACTACCTAAAGCATAACTATGGCATGACCTAAAGTGATGGAAACAGATTGACAAATGGCACATTAAGCTCTTTCTGAAGTGAGCAGACTCAGCAACTGTGTAAGGGGAAATGCAGAGTTTCATTTTATTCATTTTTATTTTTGATTTGTTTTTTTTTATTTTTACATGATTTTTACATATATTTTGATCATATTCCTCCCCTTCTTTCAATTCATCCCAGATTCTCCAACCTACCTCTCTACCCACCTAAGTTTAAGTTTCCTCTCTTTCTCTTCCCCCTCTCTTTCAAGAAATAACAGAAATAGATAAACTGTATACGAAAAACTAATGAGACAAAAATACCAAAACAATCAAGCAAATAATAATAATAATAATAAACCCATAAAATAACATCAAGTCTATTTTTTGTTAACCAAGTCTCTTGGGCATGAGGCCTGTTCTGGAGTGCGGTGGATACAGCAGGTGACATTGCATTGGAGAGAACTAGTTTTCCCCCTTCCCAGTAGGTTTTGCAAATACCTCTTTAGCTAGGGATGGGGCCTTCTGTCTGTTCCCTTTCTCAGTGCTGTGTTGGTGGTCCTTTTGAACTTGTACAGGACTTGTGTGTTCTGTTACGGTCTGTGAGTTTCTGCTTATCAGTCCTGTTTGACTAGAAGATACTTTTTCATCAGAGTTATCTACCATCTCTGCCACTTAGGATCTTTCTACTTCCTCTTCTGCATAGCTCCCTGTGCTTTGAGAGAAACATTTTGATAAAGACATCTTATTTACTGCCCGGTGAACATTAAGGGCTCAGTGCTTCAAAGTCGCTCTCTCACTGCATGCTATTCATTGTGCTTCTCTGTGTTAATTTCCATCTACTTCAATAAGCTTATCTGATCATGCTTGAATGACTCTCTAGTCTATTGGTTTAGCAATATCTCATTAGGAGTCATCTTTTCATTGTGTTCCTCCAGCAGAAAAATCTCACTAGGTTTTCCCTTAGGCCAGGTTCTCAGCTTCCCCTAGGCTCAGGTTCTCAGCTTCTTTAAAAAGTGTCAGGTAAGGGTTTCATCTCATGAAGTGAGCTTTGGAACCAATCAAACAGGGGTTGCTTACTTCATAGCATCTGTGCCACAGTTGCACCAGTGTGTTTCACAGGCAGAATGCTATGGTAGGTTATGAGGTTTGGAGCTGGGTGATATTTGATGATCACTTCTTCTTCTAGTAGGGTGCAAAAAGGATTCTCCAGCAACATGAACACTAGTCAGTAGGGGTGAAGCTTCTCGTTGGCACCAGCTCCATTGCTTACCAATGACACAGGTAAGTGTGTCAGCGTAACCAGTAGGTTTGCTTGCTTTTAGCCGGGCCAATGAGACTCCTTTGACCAATGACTCAACATAATTTAACTCATCCCTATCATTGGATAATTTACTTGGTAACTTAAGATTTCTGGTTGGGGCATTGTCTTCCACATTATATGGAGACTCCACTTATATTCCTTTTGTACATGTGTATATTTTAGGAATCCTTTACAGTATAATTATCCCTGTCCACATTCCCTTATTTACCCAGCTTTCCAGTGCCCTTTTCATTCTACCTGAATATTTTTGTGTCCCCATTGATCTCTTCATAATACCTGGGCCTCTTTCCTGCATCACATAGATTTGTAACTCATGGATGCTTGTTTTTTTCTATTGTCTGCCTAATTCATGTCTTTAAACAAATAAACAAGAGCTAATATATGTATGTTATTGAGTATACTAAAGACATTTGCATTTTAATGTCTGTTTGAATTCTCAAAAAAAAAAAATTAAGAGCTATAGATTTAGAGAAATTTTGTGATCATTTATCTCCCCTGCCAGGTAAACAAAGGAGCAGGAAAGGAGCAGCACTTCCAAAATATGCTTGCACTACCTCTCATGATTAACCATATAAATGCCATAGTTCTAACTCAAGACTAAAATCATACTGTCATTTTGGTTTTGACAAGTTGTGTTCTGCCTGACCAGTTTAGTCCTACTCTCACTGATGAAGTTACTGCTAATAAAACAGTTTCTCATTCTAAGGATCTGTTTCACAAGATGAAAATGCAAGTTTTTAATTATTAAAAACACCAATTCTCAGAACAGTGCAGGGAATCATTTGAAAGAAGGGGGAATTAATAAGACCTGGAGAGGACAGGAGCTCCACAAGGACCAAATATATCAGGGCATAGGGGTCTTTCATGAGACTGTTCCTCCAACCAAGGACCATGTATGGATATAAACTAGAACCCCTGCTCGAGTGTAGCCCATGGTAGCTCAGTATCCAAGTGGGTGTCCTAGTAAGGGGAACAGGGACTATTTCTGACAGGAACTCAATGGTGAGCTCTTCAACCCCCTATCCCTGCTTGGGGAGGAGCAGCCTTGCTAGGCCCCAGAAGAGGACATTGCATCCAGTCCTCAAGAGACCTGATAAGCTAGGGTCAGATGGAAGGGGAGGTGGTCCTCCCCTATCAGTGGACTTGGAAAGGGGCAGGGAGGAGATGAGGGAGGGAGGGTGGGATTGGGAAGGAATGAGGGAAGGGGCTACGGCTGGGAAAGAAAATAAATAACCTGTGATTAATATAAAAATAAAAATAAAAAAACACCAACTCTCCCAGACTTTCTCTATCAGACTAAATGCCTGGAGTTCCTTCCATCTTTTGTTTCTTTCTTCCCTCTTCTCTCCTTTCCTTCCCTCTTTATTTTATATGAAGTAAATTCTTCCATCCAAAGAGAAGCTGCCAGATCTAGCAGCACAGTTTCTAAATGTGGATAGGCAAGTGTGAGGTCAGGGGCACATGTACTGTGTTACCATGCTGATGTCTGAGTTATAGTGTCATTATTATCTCAACAAATACATCACACATCCGGCTCTGATTATACTCTTGTTCAATGGAAGTCTTAAACTTTACTTTAGAGGCTCTGCTATGAGATCTGAACTCTTAAGCTTTATTAGGTAAATTATTTTAACTCAAAATTCAAACATAACAATGAGCATGAAAACATACAATGGATATTAGTTTTTACCTTCTATCCTTTTGAGAGGGATGTTAAAGGAGTTCTTGAGTGGATGCTTTTCCACTGTGAATCTGTTAAGACTGTGCCATATTCCTTAGGCAAAAGAGAGATTTCTTCATGCATCTTCTTATTGTTTGAAGCTTAAAGTTCTTTTTATAAAGCATAACATTTTGAAAGTCTCATTTGCTTTTGGTCTTTCATCATTTTTACTTACTCTTTCACCTTTAAACTATTACAGCATGCTTTTAGATATAGAAAGTAGGACTAAATTAAGATCCTATTATTGTATTTCCGACTTTACCAAAATGTTCTATGATAATTGGTTTTTCCATATGTAAATTGAATGCAGATAGTTGCTGTGAAGCTTCTTCAGTGTCAGGACTGGATATATTCATCAAGTAAAGAAATTCTTCAGATTCTAAATTCCTAAGAAGCTAAATTTGATACCAGTAAAACTTCAAGTTTCTGGAAAAGTCATTTGAATTTCTTCTGTCATTATAAAGTACAAGTATGTTACAGATAAAATGCTTAAATTCTCAAGCAATGTCAATACTTGAACCCGTATATCTAGCATATCATATAGCAAGACAACAACCTGACGCAGATCTTTGGAGAATTTTTGGTAGCTGCCTTCCCAGGGACTTACCAAGGGTGCTATTTGGGAGATAATGCCAGATAATGGAGGAAAAACTTTATGTATGCTTTTACCTTTCTTCAAAATAATATTAAAATTGGAAAATTGAGAAATAAGACTTATTTGGATCAAGAAGGTTTTGAATATGGTCTTCGTGGTGACTATCAAAGGGTAAATATTCTTTCTTCAAAAGATTAGCACCTACATCTAGTTGAATAACAAAAACAACAGCAAAACTCCTTTCCTATGCAGGCATGTCAGGTGTCATTTTTGCTGCTAATCGTCAGTGTAAAAAAACCCAGGGTTCTCCAATTTAGTGGGTAGCAATGCGGTGATGCATA